CTTCTTCCCTCTCTCCTTCCAACATATGGAGAAGTTACTACCCTGAAAACACCCTGATTTCAGACTTCTAACCATCAGAACCGTGAGACTCTGCTAAGAAGATGAAAAGACAAACCACAGACTGGTAGAATAGTTTGCAAACTACATATCTGACAAAGACCTTACATCTAGGAAAAACTCTCAAAAATTCAACTGTGAATTACAAACGAGCAATCTAATGGTCAAAATACACGAACAGAGCCAAAGAGGAGACAGTGATGGCAAATAGCCACAGGAAAAGCTATTCAATATCATTTTCCATTAGGGAAATGCAAAAGAAAACTTGGCGAGGCCGGGTGGGGTGGCTCACACCTGCAATCCCAGCACTTTGGGAGGCCAACGCGGGCGGATCACGAGGTCAAGAGATCGAGACCATCCTGGTCAACATGGTGAAATCCCGTCTCTACTAATAGTACAAAAATTAGCTGGCCTTGGTGGCACGCACCTGTAGTCCTAGCTATTAGGGAGGCTGAGGCAGGAGAATTGCTTGAACCGGAAGGTGGAGGTTGCAGTGAGCCAAGATCGGGCGGCTGCACTCCAGCCTGGCGCCTGGCGATGGAGCAAGACTGTCCCAAAAAACAAAACAAAACAAAACTAACCTTCGGCTAGCTTTAACTACATACCTATTAGAAAAATACTGATAATGCCAAATGCTGGTGAGGATGCAGAAAAACTTTCTCACCGCTGGTGGCAATATAAAATGGTACAGCTTCTCTGGACAACAGTTTGGCGGTTTCTTATAAAACTAAACATGCACCTACCATACGACCTAGCAATTGTGTGCTCGGACATTTATCCTAGAGAAATGAAAACGCATGTTTACGCCAAAATGTGTACACAGATGTTCAGTCTCAAAGGGTTACAGATTGTGTGATTACAATATGGCATTCTCTAAATGGTAAAATTATAGAGATGGAGATTAGTAGTTGCCAGGGGCCAGGAACTGGGAAGGGAGTGTAGAGGCATCAATGTGGATACAAAAAGATAGCATGAAGGAGTTCTTTTGTGGTTATGGAATGGTTATATATCTTGACTTTGGTGGTGGTTACAAAAGTTGTACCCTATACATGGGGTACAATTGTATAGATATACACACACAAATGCAGATTAGGAAAAAAAAACAGCTGAGTAAGCTCTGTAAACAGTGGTGTACCAATGCCAATTTTTAAATTTTAGATATTGTATCCTAACCTACAGATGATGTCATTTGGGGAAGATGAATCAAGAGTACACTGGATTCTACTATTTTTGCAACTTCCAGTGAGTCTATAATTATTTCAGAATAAAAAAATGTGATTACACACTTTTTTCTGCTTTTTTACTACTTACATGGGTGTTTAAAACATTCATTTGGATTATTTCTAGTATGCCTGTTATGTGTTTAATAGTTTATCATTACTGAGTAAACCTTACTTTCTTATTGTTTTAGATTCTTCCTTTATCATATGCTAATGTCCACTTACATATAATCATTTCCTAGACTCTTAGTTCCAGTCATGAATTAATTTAAATTGTGCTTCAGTTTCTTCATCTGTAAAATGGAGATAATAGTAGTATGTATGTAATAGATTCATTCCTTCAAAAAATATATGTTTTGGTACCTAACCTGTGTTAGCCACTGTTCTAGTGCCTCAGGATACATTAGTGGACAAAGCAGACAAACATCACGCCTTGTCTTTCTGGAATGTACCACCTAGCAGGGGAAAACAATGACTAACAATAAATACATTGTATAGTAAGTTGGAAACAGTGCTGTAAAAAAGAGAAAAAGTGGAGCAGACAGGGGAGATGGGAGATTGAGGGGATAAAATTTTAAGCAGAAAATCAGGGCAAGTCTCAACGAGAAGGTGACAATTGTGCAAAGGTTTGAAAGAGGTAAAGAAGACCATCTTGTTAAAGAAGATTCCAGCCCAGGGAACATCAAGAGAGAAATGGAGAAATATTGAAGAACGTTGAGCAAATATAATTAGACTTAGAATTCGATCTAATATAATTAGACTTACATTTTAAAAGGATAACTATGGTTCTGTGTTGAAAATAAACTGTAGGGTAGTAGCTAAGCTTAAATGAGTTCATATACATATTACATGTACTTAGTATACCTATCTACCTTATCTATCTATCATCTATCTATCCATCCACCCACCCACCCACTTACCCAACTACCTATCTACTCATCCATCATTAATTTACCCAGAACAACGCCTGGTGTGATTTAAAGGCTATTACTATCATTTTTTTTTTTTGGCAAGTTTAGTTTAACCATAACTATCTCATATAAGGTAGTTATCCGTATTGTATAGATAAGTAAACAGACTCAGAGAGGTTGAAGTAACTTGCCCAAAAGTTACATAATTTGTAAATGCCAGTGCCATGATAGGAAGTGCAGGGATCGCTGTTTTTGAGATGCATGCTCATAACCATGAATAAGCTCGTTCCCTAATTCCCATTCCCAAGATGCAATATAGATGAGAAATATTAGATGGACCCTATTTAATTAATCTTAAGCTACTTCCCTGATAAAGGTGAGCTTAACAAAGCTATTTTTTCACTCCCAAGCAAAATATCAAGCCATCATGGGCACCAAGGTTAAGGTGCAAAGCTTTAAGGCCTTTAGCATCATGGCAGAACATCTTTGGAGAAACAAGCTTTTGCTGTGTAGTATTTATTATTTCACATGGGTGCCAAATTGGCTCTGCCAATCTGATGGACACTATCCTGCTTAAATAGCAGGATTATATAATGACTTTAAGATCTGTAAGAATGTGTATATTATTTGTTGATTAATAGCTACATGCAAGTCTATTTAGTAAACATAGTTCCCTGCTTTATTTAATAATTTTTAAAAATAATTCTATTTTTTTAACTGTAAATACCAATGCCCTTATTAAAGTCAAGTTGCTTGTTTAGACAGATTATTTTATTAAACCATAGTGTTGGGCACTGTGGCATATGCCTGTTTTACTCCCAGCTACTCAGAGATAGAGGTGGGTGGATTGCTTGAGCCCAGGAGTTCAAGACCAGCATGGGCAACATAGTGAGACTTTGTCTCATTAAAACAAAACAAAAAGCAAAAAACAAAACATAGAGATTCAAGTCCAGTCAAGAAAGCAGCTGTTTATCAGAGATAAAATAGTTACTTTATCAGAGAGAATATAAATAATTGTTTACGGAGGTATTGAAAGATTGAAATGATCAGAAGACGGCACCATTGATGTATGCAGACTTTTCAGGAATGAAGGTTTGGGTCACCACTCAACCAGATAGAGGACTCTGACCAGTTAAGATTGTGACTTGGGGGAGGAGGGCAGAATGGGTAAAAAAGACAAACTTGGCTGGACACGGTGGCTCATGCCTGTAATCCCAGCACTTTGGGAGGCTGAGGCGGGTGGATCACGAGGTCAAGAGATTGAGACCATCCTGGCCAATGTGGTGAAAACCCGTCTCTACTAAAAATACAAAAATTAGCTGGGCATGGTGGCACACATCCGTAGTCCCAGCTACTTGGGAGGCTGAGGCAGGAGAACCTGGGAGCCAGAGATTGCAGTGAGCCTAGATTGTGCCACTGCAGTCGAGCCTGGTGACAGAGTGAGACTCCGTCTCGAAACAAAAAAACAAAAAACGAGACAAATGAGGTAGCAAGCACAGCTATCACACAGTAACATGTGTATTTGTCTCTTAATCAGTGGTATTGAATATGAAAAATCTATTGCTTCAGAATAAGGAGAATAGCAACCTCAGATTATAAGATTATAAATACAATAGGTCCCAGGGATTTGGTTAACCTTATGATACGTATTTTAAAAGATGGTGTTTCTGAACGGCAGGCAGTATAGTACTATTTACACAGTAGGAGCTCAGAGTCTTTACACAGCAAGGTAAGGGCTTGACAATATTTCAGGATTTTACATAAGATGGCATGTTGGGACTTCAACAGTGGACCTTAGAAGATTGGCCCCCTAGAAGAATGGCTGGTATAAATACCTACATACAGAGGCACGTGAACTAAAAGAGCCTCTGGGCTGTGCTGACATTTGGTGTTAGGTAGGTTATGAAGCCTTAATTACAGGGAGATCCATCCCATTGAAACAAGGCTCTTGTCATCAATTTGGGGTGCAGAAGGTAGCATCTATACCGTGGAGTGCCAACCAGATGGCATGGGGATCAGGGCTCAGATCTGGAGCTTAATCAAGGATATGGAGGAAAGCTGCTACTTGGTGGACATAAATAATCCAAGAACTCACCAGAGGACACAAGGTAGTCTTAGGGACATGCCAGCTCATTCCCCTCATAGGATCCCCAGTAAAGTGCTAAGTAATGTTAATTTGGTCCTTGTTGGCTGAGTATGTGATTGGGCTATGAAAGTCTCAGGTCTTCAGTCCTGATCACTGGGTACAGTTGGGGAAGGCAGAGACTGGTGTCCTTTTGGTTACACTGGCATCAGTACATCCTGATAGTGTTTCTCATGTTCATCTGATACATATCAAATAATTTTGCTGGGATTGATATGATTTTATTTGGCTGCTGTTAGAAGATACCTCTTAAGCGATATAGCAATTGGGAAGAAGTAATATAGTGACTGGAAGAAAATAAGAAGAGGCAAAAGTGAGAAGTCAGGTAATCAGAAAATATAACATTTCTGATTATTGTTATTTTGGCAGTTTTACTTGATATTTCAGAATTTCCAGGAGAAATAATTTCAAGCCAGAGAGCTGGGAGCCTTCCACATACTGTGTATCTTAAAGAGTAATATTGCGGATTTACAGAGTTTTTTACTCAGTGAATTTACTGACAGTGGCCTGAACATACCCATAGATTAAAAAACTTACTCAGAAAAATCATGAAAATAATCTGCCTTCAGAATTTCTGGATACAACAACCTTCGAATGCTATGGCTTACTAATCTTTAATTTTAAATAATATTTTGTACTGAAGTAAAGATAAAGTCTGACAAATTTGGATAGTTTGCATCAGTAAGAAAGTTTATTGAAATTCATTAGTAAATGAGAATAGAAAGTTGTTTTTTTTTTTTTTTTTTTTATTACAGAACACTTTCTGGTAAAGTAAAAAGAAAAAATACAGAAACCACAAAACACCGTGTAGACACCTTATTTTCCCGGCGTGAACCTGTTTTCAAAAACCATTAAGACAGAAGTATTTTCTTGGAGACTTTTGTTTTCCATGCATCTGTATATAATGGTCTGCGTGAAGGGAGATTCCTTCCTCTTGATGCAGCTTAATAGTAGTGTTTCTTGGTTTCTGATTCAACCATGGATGAAAGGACTCTACCGTCAGGTGCCACCTCTTCAATAATTGTCTTGATTACTCTTGTTTTGTTAGTATCTGTGTGAATGATGAACAAAAAAATTTAAACAGTCTGTAGGGGTCCTTAGTAATTAACAAGCAAATACTGTAAAAAGAAGGAAATTTCAACTTTATATTGTTAAGTCCAAAAAATGTTTTAAGGTACGACATTTTGATTATGCCATTTTTCAAGGTTGGTGTTAAGGGTAGTTTGTGAACAAATGCAAACGGAACCGTCTCTAATATTTTTAATTTTTTAAAACAGCTCTAGAGTTTAAAGCGCAAGAAAACCATCACAGGAAGTTAAAACTAATTCTGATTACCCCAGCTAGTTTCTGCTGACCTTGGTCCCTTAGATGAGGACTCGCCCACCGACCCGGAAGAGGATGACTTGTGTCCTCCGCTGGAGCTTCCGCCTCCGAAGCCACCGCCGGAACTGCCTCCGAAGCCGCCGCCGGAACTGCCCCCGAAGCCGCCGCCGGAACTGCCGCCGGAGCCGCCGCCGCCGTGGCCGCCGCCGGAGCTACCGCCCCCGTGGCCGCCGCCGGAGCTGCCGCCGCCGTAACCGCCGCCGGAGCTGCCGCCGCCGTAGCCGCCGCCGGAGCTGCCGCCGCCGTAGCCGCCGCCGCCGTAGCCGCTGCCGCGTCCGCCGCCTCCGGAACTAAAACGGGGTGAGGTCACAGTCAGTTATCTCTAACGTTGGAAAACGGTGGGTAGCGTTCCAGTTTGTCGTTGACTTAGAAAATAAGCAAAACATGTCTTGAGGAAATAAAACCCTGCCAGGTAAATATTTTAAAACGCTGCCAGGTAGGTATATCTTTTAAAACCCATCCTTTGAAAACAGAATTCTTAAGAACCATTTTGGGCCAAATTCATAGGAAAGTGAGATTACGGTTGAGTACTCCTTTTACCGTCCCCTCTTCCCTTCCTCTCATTCTCTGGCATCTTCTTGGGGTTTAGAAAAGCCTTGCTATCTGGAATATTGATTAAAAGAAACTGGGATAACTTTTCATTTTTAAATGTACCTTCCCTCTCCTTCTAGCAGGCTGCGGTAGGTTTGAATTTCATTCTCCAGTCGGATCTTAATATCCAGGAGTTGTTGATATTCACTATTCTGGCACTCGGTTTCAGCTCGAATCTGTTGCAGCTGTTCTTCCAGAGCGGAGATCTGGGCCTGAATCTGTGATAGCTGCACGCAGTAGCGACCTTCTGTTTCTGCCAAGGAGGCTTCCAGGGATTGTTTCTGAAACAGATTTTTTTTGTGTGTGGCTTAGCGACTTCCTTGCCATATATGAGTATAGTGACGCTTGTTTAATTATTTAATAAGGCATTATATAAAAGACTGAGAAAATAAACAGAATTTGTTTTATGTTTAATGGCACCATTTCGGTTTCAGCACTTTTAGATCAATTCCGGTCATACTTTTCCTCCACTAACGTAGACCTTAAGCCTGTTTTCTCTTTCTTACCCCCAGCTCTGCATTTCTCTCTTGCATTGCATATTCTTAGGTGAGCATGAAACTTTGTATGATAAAGGTGAAGTCATTTCATGAGCGTTAACATACCAGGGCCAGTTGGGACTGTAGTTCTATCTCCAGACCTTGTACAGTACGTCTCAATTCAGTAATCTCAGTTTTATGGCTGGACATCTGTTCAATGTTACTATCAATTTCTGTAGTCAGTTCCTTGCTCTAGAGTATTAAAAACAGGGAAAGAGATGAGAAAATTCTGAAATGATAAAAGCTCCATGGGTTTTCCTGTAAAGGAAGATTAATTTACCTTTTCATTGAACCAGGCTTCAGCATCTTTGCGGTTTTGTTCAGCAAGTTGTTCATACTGGCTTCTCATGTTATTCAGAAGTTGAGTCAGATCAACACCTGGGGCAGCATTCATTTCCACATTCACATCACCAGTGGACACATTTCGAAGGTCTTTCATTTCCTGTTTGAGGAACGGAAAGATTTAATGGCGACACGGTGACTATAATGAACTCTCTTTTGTCTGTGACAAGTATAACTTTTGTGTTACCTCCTCGTGGTTCTTCTTCAGATAGGCCAGCTCTTCAGTCAGGCTCTCAATCTGCATCTCCAGGTCAGCCTTGGTCAGGGTCAGCTCATCCAGCACCCTACGCAGGCCGTTGATGTCAGCCTCCACGCTCTGGCGCAGGGCTACCTCATTCTCATACCTGAAACAAGCATGATATCAATACTGGATATAACTTATATGGGGAGATGTATCTGTGCAGAGACTATTTAAAAAGCAAATACATAGTTAATCTCATGTCGTGGCAATACTTATGTACTAGTTCACTTAGGAGTAATAATGGTTTAATGGAAAGAAGCTTAGCAGTTACTTGAAAATGCATTTTCTTCCTTGCCAAAAAGGTAATACTGACATGGAAAATTTCTCAGATAACTCCAATACTATTTAACTTTGGGTGAATTCAGGAAAATGTAAATGCTATTGTGGGCATCCCAAGTCATTGTTAAAAACAACTGCTGTGTTTGTTGTGATGGTATTATACAATGATCACTTAACTTACTTCAGCCTGAAGTCATCAGCTGCCAGCCTGGCATTGTCGATCTGAAGCAGGATATTGGCATTATCAGTTGTTAGGTTGAGGATCTGGAGGGAGAGACACAGTTACTTAAGAAGAAGTCAGATGCAGATACGGCTTTTATAGTGGCATAGATGTTTCTGCAGTTTTATGTTGTTCTCTTACAAAATCTTGGGGATTTTAAAAATTTTAAATATAAAATATTGCAGGCTTACCCTTATACTTAACTTCAAATTATTTCTTCTCTTGGAATTTCTTCACTCTTGTATTTCTGTATGTGAATTATCCCTTTCTGGAAACTAACTGGAATTATATAGCTGTATTCCTGCAAGTGTGCCCTCCTCTTTTAGACTATGTGATTTCCATGTATTTCAGCCACGCTCTGACTGACTCACACCTGTGTTTGTTTAACTCTCTATAAATATAAATAAATATACTCTGAACTGGTACACAATAGGTACAATTCAGAAATTCCTTAGAGGTAAGCAGTATCCCATTTTCATACTGGAAAATTCATGTTTCTTGCCATGTTGGTACTGAATATGGCTTGTTATCAGTCTGAATAACATTTTGTTCTGATTCATTTCATGATTGATTTTTCATTTTCTACATTTGTAAATGATCTAGCATATTTTAACTGTGGACTCATTGTATGCTCATTAAAACCTGAAAAATTCTTGGTAATCTGCCATTCACTATGATAAGCAGCATACATGCTGGATGAAGATTGCCATGACCATACTTTCACAGATCTTTATCTTTGATGAGACTGTGTTATTTTTGAAGTAAGGAAGTAACATAGGTAAACATAGTGAGCAGCCACATTGTGCTTAATATAAGATTCATCTGTCTAGATTACATGGATAAGATATTTGAAGCTGGATTTAAAAATACCTCTTACCTGATTTTTAAGGTCATCGATAGTTTTGTAGTATTTGCTGTAATCACGAGGCTCCCCTTGGCGTGAGTTGCCATGCTTTTCATACCATTCCTTGATTTTGCCTTCTAGCTCATAGTTTGATTCTTCCAGAGCCCGAACTTTGTCCAAGTAGGAAGCCAGGCGGTCATTCAGATTCTGCATGGTTACTTTTTCATTTCCAGAGAGAAGGCCACCATCTCCTCCAAATCCACCACCAAAGCCTCCTCCAAAGCCTCCTCCAAAGCCACCTCCACCAAAGCTGCCCCCACTGAAGCTGCCACCACCAAAACTGCCTCCTCCATAACCCCCACCAAAGCTGCTACTTCCATAGCCTCCACCAAAGCTACTTCCACCAAAACCTCCTGATATTCCATAGCCACTTGATGAGCCTCCCAAGCAGCCTCCAGAGCTTCCACGGCTAAAAGAGCCACCACTGAACCCCCCTGAGCTAAATCCTCCACCAAGGGAGCCTTTGCTGCTCGAAATTCTGAAGGATGAGCCGCCACCTCCTCCTCCTCCTCCTCCTCCTCCCTGGGTATGGGAAGAGTAGTGCTTGCTTGAGCTGTATCGAACAGACATGGTGATGCTGTTTAGCCAAGGGAGTGCCTGCTACCAAGGACAGTGACAAGCCTTTATATCTTGAGAGGGTGTGTTACACATGTGTTAGAGTTTGCTTACTTGCATGGTTTTCTTTTTGCCAACTTAGCATCTTTGGCTTACGATTGCATAAATTATCTTCAGTAATAACCAATCCCAATATGTACAATTTTGAATTTGCCCTAAGAATAAACAGGAGGTTTGCTGTGTTGAAATTGAAAATGGGTGGAGATCAGATGAGCATGTTTTATTATGCTTTTCACCTGTTGAAGAACATTGAGCAACTGTTAAGATCCATTTTTCTCAGCACTGACTCAGGTTACATAGAATGTTTGCAAAGCTTGGGAAAAAAAAGAGTTTTGGCTACAAAATTATAGTTGAAATAAGATTTTTCAAATTCATGTTTTAAACAGTTTTAATTGGAACAACAAATATCATAAAGTCTGCCAGGATCATGCGATAAAATAAGGATCTATCCAAGCACTTTGGGAGGCCGAGGCGGGTGGATCATGAGGTCAAGAGATCGAGACCATCCTGGCCAACATGGTGAAACCCCGTCTCTACTAAAAAATACAAAAATTAGCTGGGTGTGGTGGCGCGTGCCTGTAGTCCCAGCTACTGGGGAGGCTGAGGCAGGAGAATTGCTTGAACCCGGGAGGCGGAGGTTGCAGCGAGCCTAGATTGCACCACTGCACTCCAGCCTGGCACCTGGCGACAAAGCAACACTCTGTCTCCAAAAAAAAAAAAAAGGATCTTGTAGACAACTGTAGAGCATGAAAAAGAAAAAAATTCTAAAAATTTAACTAGCCTTAATAGTTGCCACACATAAAACATTAAAGCCATAAAACCACAATTTAGGAGATTGTGTTTTTAGGGGATCTTTTACTTTATTTGGCAAATGAGAGTATATTGATATTTTGCTTAAGAAAGTGGAAATAATGATTATAGAATTTTTAAATTAATGATGGCATTATTTTTAACATTAAAAAAATCTGAAATCGTGAAGTTATCCTGGATTATTTTGCACTTTTAAACTCATAAAGTTTCTATGAAGACCATAATAATGCAGAAAATCTGCATAATTTTCTTAGCACAGAATCTGAAGAGCTAACTTGTAGTACTTTATACTAAATTCTGTTAGAGTGAAAGAGGAGAATTTGTATATGTTAGTATTGTAAGTAAAAATATGCTTGCAAAAATGTAAACCTGTATTAGAGAATGATACTTGCACCAAAAATTATGAGCTAGACTGTGCACCTGTGTTCCCAAGCTAGGTTCAGTTTCTCAACAAAAACAACACATTTTCTTGGATATACTGTGTACAGAATTTGGTATAACAGTTTGTCTACTGAAGTAAATTGGGGTTTGGTACATTGTATAAGATTATGTCTACCCATAGGCTATGGCATTGCTGTTGTTTGGATGTATATATGTATGCATACATGTTTTACAATTACGTAGTGCTGTTTGTGATACTGTGATTTTAAAATTTCTAGAATCAACTGTTGAGATAGGAATGGTGGTTATTATAGAGGTTATGATTTTTTCCTGAAGACATATAACAGGTGGTTGAACTGCAATTAGAAGCTTGGTCTTTTAACTCCTTGGTTCTTTCCTACTGTATCAATGCGTACATATATTATCTGTTCTGGTGGATTTGGTTTAATGGAACTGAATGACTCTAATTCTTACCATAAACTTCTCTAAATGGAGAAAAAAACAAAACAAAAAGGACTTGGAATCATGAAAATATTGAAAGGCTCTTCTTTTAGTAATTGTTTTTCAAATTAAATTTATACCTGCACATTTTAGTTTATGAAAACCACATAAATGGTTTTTGCAGGAAAGGGGAATGTGGTTGGGAGCATTAATCAAATGTTAATTATTAAAGTGGAGGTTATTATCCAGCAAATCCCAACTCTTCCAACTTGTTAGCACATGCAAGTGGGGCAGTAGTTAAAAGAAAAAAATGAAACTCAACCATGGGAATTGATTCTTGATGAAGATAGCATACAGTTAAATAAGGCTATGATAAATGAGGATAGAAAAAGAAAAAAAGATTCCAATAACTTCAGAGAGGTATTAATGAAAGCTTTTTGCAAAGAAACATTTTAATTAAATTTTGATTGATTTTACCTATCCTTAGCGCAAGTTTTAGATCTTAATATTACCAATTTTGTTTTAGTATTAGCCTATAATTCCTCCAGTGGAAAATTTAAAAATCTTAATCCCATTTCAGTTAGTTAACAAGCGGTATGAAGAGTTCCCTGTTACAATCATACTAAACCAAAGAATATGTGAAAGGAAATCTTTACATAAAAGTACAGGAGAACAAATACATGTATGGAGGGTCTTCTAATACTGTAACGTTTAATTTAAGCTACCTTTACTATTATTACCAAAGGTTGTTTATTAGCTTGTATACTGTAGAAATTGATTTGTCTTTATTCATGCTGTCATTTGTTGAAATCAGCCTTTGGCATGAGGTAAAATTAAGAGGTGCCACATAATAATTCTACAGCTAAATTAGATGTACATTTATGATTCTAGTCTTGGCACCGTTTACACTTGATTGCTATAATCCACTGCAACTGTAATTTTATTGTGCTCGATTTTTATTGTGTCTCTGTGTAAAGTGCATTGGTAGGTAGTTAAAAGATAGAAAAATGAATGAGATACAGCTCCTGTCCTTAAAGATCTTGCCAGTAGTTACAATCTAATTGAGGAGACATAACATGTACCATCAGCTTAAGTGCTATGTGCTATGTAAATGAAAATGATGGTGGGGCTTGGATGTGTGGGGATAAGAAGTTAACATTTATTGAACATCTGCTATGATCTGGATGGTTTTCTTTAATTCTCCCCCAGATTCTCTAAGATAGGCATTATTTAATAGCTGAAAAACCTAAGCCTTTAAAAGTTTTAGGAATTTGCCAGAGTATATATGTATATATTTATCTATCAGCAATATCTGAGTGCTGACATATAGCCTGGTTTTGAATCACAAGAGATACAGTTACAAAGATGTTAGTTTTCCTGACACCAGACTGGCATTCTTAAGACTAATGAGCAAGGAATCATGTTGGAATGGGGCCACCTGACAAAGTTTCATGGTGGAGTTGAAATTTAAGCTGAGTCTTGTAAGGATGGGTAGGATTTTTCATGTGTGCAGTAGCAGAGAGTATACTGTTCTGGGAAGTCAGGACTGTGAAAATGCCAAGCAGGTGGAGACACTGAATGACCAGTTTGGCTGGAGTAGATCATCTATATATGTTAATTTATTCATTCCTTCAGCAGGTTTTATTGAGCACCTACAATATGACTTGGGGAATGCATAGGTGACCAAGGTATAGTTCCTGCCCTTCAAGGAGTTTACAGTCTACTTGGAGAGGCAAACCAACATACCCACAGATCAGAGATTCTAATATATGGTAATCTGGGCTACAGTTGAGCAATGTTCAGGGTTCCGAGGGATTGCAGAGAGGGGTTCTAACAGTCTGGTGAGTGAGTGAGTAAGTGTGTGTGGGTGTGGGTGTGGGTGTGGTGTGAGTGCACAGTGAAAGAATAGTTGAAGTAAAGTTTGGGATTGAAGATGAGTTTGGTTTAAGATGCGAATTTGAGGTAATACCAGGATATTCATGAAACATTCTTTTTTTTTTATTGCACTTTAGATTCTGGGGTACATGTGCAGAACATGCAGGATTGTTGCATAGGTACATACATGGCAATGTGGTTTACTGCCTCCATCCTAGCCACCTATATCTGGCATTTCTTTAAGCAATTATGGGACTGCAATTAAGGAGAGGGTTCAGAACAGCAGACTTTCTGAACTCTCTCAGAAAGGGGGTAGTTAGGATCCCTAAGTGAAGGAATTTAGAGACAAATGTACAGAAGGTCTAATTCTGAACTTTTGGAGTCACTTTAGGGGCTGGGAAGAAGTAGAGCTAGAGAATAATCCTGAGAAGAAGGACATCTAAGACCAGGGAACGGGGGAAAGATGATGGTTGAAGCCAAGGGAGAAGAGAACACGGGTGTGGTGATCACCTGAGAGGCCAACGAAAAGGTGAATTGAGGAAAGCAATTTGGAACCATTGGCATCCTTCCAGAGGACAGTTTTAATTGAGTAGTGGTGAGGTAATTCATGAGGTATATGCAATATTGGAATGGATGACTTTGCTTGTGGTATTTTTTTTTTTCATGTTGTCCAGTTTATCAGTTTCTTCTTTAATAGCATCTGAACTTTGAGTCATGGTACAAGTGCTTTTCGCATGGGGTTGGTTTGGCTGGAGCTCTGGAAACGTGTTGTGGATTCAGGTTTGTTACCAGCTTGACTTGTCTCACTGTTGGGATTGTGATCCTTTTTATTATTTTGCTTCAAGTAAAATCATCTTTTGAAGTTTCTAGCTGAAGATTCTATTTGCAAGTTTCTTTTTCTGACTGAGCAATTGAGATATACATAATTTAAGTAGTTGCAGAAGGACAAATCTAGTAATGCAGGTTATATCTCAAGATGGCAAGGTTGATCCAAATATTTAGATTTTTCTATTATTTATCACATGAAGTTTGAGAGTCAGGCATTTTCTTTTTGACTGTTCTGTGACTGTGCAAATTGCTTAATATGCTTTTGTGGTTACTACCTGTAGAGTCGAAGCAAAGTAGAAAATTGTATCATTATTTGATAGATTTGGTACCCTCTTCTCAGGTAGCTGAGTAATTAGAACTAAGGTATCAACTGATAAAGTTTGTGTCTTCTCATTGGCTAACTTCTAAAATTCAGGCATCTTAAACCTACAGACACTCCTGTATCACGTGATTTTTCGGAAACTACTGTGATGGAAACCACAAAAATATGGAAACTACTTGAAGGCTTTTGGGAGTAGTGTAGCAGAGTAAGAGGGTGGGTCTTGGGGTCAGACTTCTGGGGTTGCAATCCAGGCTCCACCACTTACTGTGAGGTTTCATCTTAATTTCCTCTTCTCTAAAGTAGGGATTATAATTTTTCTTACACTGTGGAGTTGTAGTAGGAGTCTAATGAGTTAATAAATATAAAGCATTTAGAACAATGATTTGCATACATAGAATAAAATGAATATATTTTTGT